GTCAAATTTGACTCTTGGATTCGTACTTGGGCAGAAGTTGACTCTTGAATTCTCACTTGGGTATGGATTTGACTTCTGAATTCTCATTTGAACATGATTGTTTATTATAACCTCAGGCTATCACCTTTTTCCTGGCTGGTTACGAGACTACCAACACACTGTTGAGCTTCACTGCCTACCTGCTGGCTACCAACCAAGACGCGCAAGAGAAACTGCACGCTGAGATTGACAACCTCGCTCCCACACGTGACAACCTCGGCTATGACGTCATCGCCAAGATGGAGTACCTGGACATGGTGATTGATGAATCACTGCGCATGTATCCCCCAGCAGTCATGTAAGGAACACTTCAATCGTGAACTGACTTTGACTACGAATTTTTATTTTGAAAGCTATCTGTAAAAAGGTTTAATATTTTACTCATGATTCATCTTTTACAGATTTGATCGTATGTGCAATGAGACAATTAGCTACGAAGGTCTTACCATCGAAAAGGGTGTAAACGTGTTCGTTAGTCTCTGGAGCTTACATTACGACGAGGAATTCTGGACAAATCCGACTAAATTTGACCCGGAAAGGTAGAATGTCTTAATGTATTTGTTTTCAAATTCAACTTTTTTTCAGCGTTGTTCCTGTGTATCTGATGATATAAAATTCAAAATAATAGAGCCAAAAGCAATTGTTATGCTGCTAAGAAAAAACGTTTCCACTATTGCAAACACACTTTTTGAGTTTTTGAAACCTTTATTGCTTTTTCTTCACAGGTTCAGCCCTGAGAACAAGGCCTCCATCAAACCGTGCACCTACATGCCGTTCGGCTTCGGTCCTCGTAACTGCATCGGTATGCGCTTTGCCTTGCTGGAATCCAAGATGGCGCTGGTGCGTGTACTGCAGCAGTATCGCTTTGATGTCTGCTCAGAAACCGAGGTAAGAAAGAACACAGTGCTTAAAAGAATGAATCAACATCTTCGTTTTCACCAATAACCAGCAAAGACGTTGATGCGAACACAATGCCCTGTCTTGTTTGTGGAAGAAAAGTCCGAACATGCAATCCAAAATGCATGTAAAAGTACTCTTTTCTTGGGCATCTTAACACCCCGATCATTTGCAACTGTCTTTCGAACGTTATGTTTGTGGAATTCGACCCTTCTTTCTCTTGATTTAGAACCTTTAGAAGAATTTTAAGATGTATCAATCTATCCCAAATTAATGGACTCTTCCTGCCTGTCAGTCGAACAGTACGCATTGACCAATTAAATCACGACTTATGGTCAGGTGACCGCGGTAGCTTGGTCCAAGATGGCGACAAGAATTGTGAGAAATATACACAAACCAAAGGTGGGCGGGGCTCATGGCCAAATATTGAACGATCTTAAAGATAATCAGCAATACATTTTACATGAACGTATATCTAAGTGAAGTTTAATTGAAGAATTTGTGGTTTTTCTCTTCTTCAGATCCCACCCAAGCTCGGTAAGACTGGCTTCCTTGCTCCGAAGAGTATGAAGCTCAGTGCAGTCCCAAGAAACTAGACAGCAACCACGGTTGATAGAAGGAGAGAAATCTGATCTCAGCCTTAAGATGATTTAAAGACGTTCATGATATATGTCATTATGTTTACATCAATCACTCATTTGGTTATTGTTAGGGTTAGGCATGTGTGCCACTTTTGTTGAATGAATAGCAGCAAGTTAATGTTGAAGCTCTACTGTTCGATGTATTTTGCTAGTAAGAAGCTGCATAGAATTTGTTGGTAGAACTATTTCTTGATCATCATTTGAGAGTTCTTGAGAGTTTTAGAATTTACAGACTGCGTTATCCGTTTTTGGATCATTTTTTTAAGGAAACCGAAACAAAATTCGTGTCAAAGTTTAGTTTAAAATGCTTTTATAACACTTGCTGAAATAAAAGCGGTATGATAGCAATTGGTTGATATATGGATTTCAGTTATATTCCTTCTCATATTGATTTTGATGAAATTCCTTTTTAGTGCAAGTGTTGTGATACGTTATACTATTCGGCATGAATTTCAGCACTTTGATAAAAACAATTCGCCATTTAGTGCCTCACCAAAGTTAAATGGGCTGAAAATAATTTACGCCCTTCACTACAATAACGAAGCTATATGATTAATATTTAAACACTTCCTCGTTACAACTTTGCATAGTGTAGTGTATTTGTAATGTCTATGATAATTCAAAAGTGTGTAAATGTAAAGCCTTTGTGTTTCAGGGTAGATATTTTACATTTTCATATTTTAATAAATCGACGTTGAATTTGAACTTTATGTGATTGCACAATACATGTACACTAGTGTTCGTTAGTTGCCTTTATTCATTGGAAACGTGCACTGTTATGGAAAAAGAAATTATATTACTATTTCTATATTTTTACTTAATTTGTACATAACTAATACTATAGTATGATGTTTATATTTAGAAATTCGACGTTTGTCTTTTGACGTCAACTTTGTGATATTTTAGTTCTATTTGATTCTGATGTTTAACTGGTGTTCTATAAACGTGCGCGGATCTTCTGCAAATAGTTAAAACTGACTGTATATTATATAACCTGTATTATGGAAAAGAGCGATCATTATCTTTGAAAATATAGTTATAGCTGCAGATCATGTTAAACAAGTTGACGTCACTTTTTTACTTGATTCTTAACATTTTATTTCGCTGCTACGTAAAAAAAAATATTACAGTTATATGTAACTGATAGCAAAAAGAGTGTGGGGGCAGCTGCCCGGTAACACATAAGTGGTAAATGACTATAAAATTCAAGTGTTTATATCATTGGAGTGCTTGAATTTGATTTATTTATATTATATTTTAAAAGTGTGGTCAGGTGCATTATAACTATTTTCCGTGCCGTAATTATTGTTATTTTCCTCGTTCTAAATCCAAAATAACTTGATGCCTGATTATCATCCAGGTATACAAAGATTGGGTGACTTTGCATTTTTGTACGGTGGGGGGGGGGGGGGGCATATCTATTGAATTTGAACCTATTCTAGTCAAGGAGTTTACAACTCTCAAAGGGAACCTCACAAAATACACAGTGGCACACAAAAAGGTCTAGCGAGGCAGAATGTAATACGTGCACACTGTAACGGTGGGTACCGGTGAGAGCCACGGACTTTTTTTTTGGGTGGTGGGGGGGGGGGGGGACAGGTAGCTGTCCATTGTCCTTTTATTAGGAAAATAACTTTCCCTCGAGGTCGCGCACACAGCAACAAAGAAAATTGGCGACAATAGTCAGATTAGACCAATCCATTTTATCGGAGGGAGGTGGGTTTGAAGTTGATGTGCACTATTTGGCAAAACTCCACGTCATTTTGTCAAACGTGTCTGATGACAATGCTGCTGTGTTATCGAAATGTTGACTCATTATTGTTGAGTCAACCAATATTCACCATGCATATTTGTTTCCATCAAAGACTCATTTATGGCAACATTTATATTGTTCATTTCCGATGATGACGCAAATAAATTGAACGGCAGAAAATGTGATGTGGTCAGAAATATATCTCATCAGGGGTGGGATGGGGGGGGGGGGACATCCCCCTCGATAATGTTTTGGCGGAGGACACCAATGGCACTGCTCCTCCGATAATCCCAGTGCGTACAGATTTTAACCTATATGTACTGTATTTTCCCCAAACTTGGTCAGATAGCTGTTTCCTGTGCGGCACTTCGTACCCTTTCACGGATAAATTGCATAATTTTGCGACCCCGTGGTTATACTTACATTGGAGCTGGCAGTTCAAGTTGAAAGCTCAATTTTACTCCCTATATTTTTTTATGTAATGCATCCAGACCACGTTTTGCAAATTGCAATGTTTTCTTTCTCGATATTCATGACCCTACATCTCACGTACAACGTTCACATTGACTTGCATCTTTTTTACATGAGTAAAGTGACCATATTGCGAGTTGCCCTTGCATTTCGCTAACTTCTTTCTTGATATTTCTATAAAAGCCTATAAGAAATGCCTTAAAAAAGTTCAATCGATCCATCTGTACAAGCTGATCGGGTTGCGTGCGAAGTTGCTTTTGAACTTTGACGGAAGTCCTTTATATTAATCACAATGATAAAGGTACGAAAAGGTTTTCGACTCTGGCCACACAAGTAGCCACTTTAATTGAACAGTTGAGTATCGGGTCGATGTACCGTACATGTACATGTAGGTGAACGGTCAATCACAGCGCGTACTTTGAACTTGGTACAAGCTATTGCCATCACAAGCAGATTGTTCCGTCTGAATAGTCTCACACACAGGATTGTTCCATTTCAACTGCAGTTTTCTTAATGCCTAACTCCGACCTTCCCCTTCGCCGTTGTGATGTGTTTTTAACCAATCTTTTTAGTTTTCTGTGCTGCTTTGATACTGGCTGAAGTTTTGTGCAGTCTACAGCAGCCAAATTGTTGTGATGAAGTATTTCTCGTGCTGAAAATATATTTCCAGCTCCCTTGTTAACCATATTCAAATATTTTCTTCCATCAATTTTCTGTGAAAGCTTCAGTCAGGGTCCTTTGCAAAAGTTGAAGATAATCAGATAGACTCAAAAGGTTGGCATCCCCGGTCACACACCAAACCGGTTGGAAAGATTAAAAGTGAAGATAACCATTTTATTTTGAATATTTTGGCACGAGCGGGAACTTTTCACCCCTTTTTCTTTGTCATCAAAGTCATTGTTCCTATGGCGCCGAAAATTAAAGCGTTCGTGACATTATGGAAAAAAAAGGGCGTCTGCCCTGACAACACGCAATGGTGTGTCTGAAGGTAAGATAAAGATGTCGATGAAGGAACTGTTTCATATAAACATCTTCTTTTTTTTTAGTAAAAAGTTCTTTGGCCTACATAGGCAGTACTTTGAACTGTATTTTGAACTGTATTTTGAACGCCTATGTTGACATCACCGGTTGGCAGTTCTCTTAGTACAGTATGCCCAGCGTACCACTGACAACTCAGTTCAACCAGTCTACTACGCGTACAGGATATACTACATATTGGTTTTCACAAACCTTGAGCTGCGACAGTGCGAGGATTTGCATATGAAAAGCTGAGATCAATTCTTTTTTACTCATCAGTTTGTTAATAGCGGGTCAACATGGAGCTGTTAGGGCTGGATTTGTCGATGACTTGGATTCTGCTTATAGGTGTCATACTCATGTTTGTATGGTATGTACAACTGGTCACTGAATACTGACTTCTTCTGAGTGACTTTTACTAGGCCTACGCACATTACCGTCGAGCATATATATATCTTTTCGTTCCTCCATGGCCCAATGAATACATTGTATATATTCCGGCATTGTACTTTGAATTGTGTGCAATTGTTACCAAGTGCAGTATATGACCATATGACTAAGTGTAGACCCTATTCATGTCATGTTCACGCCATGTATTTCTCATGATTTTGGGGGTATTATTTTTAAGTAAATAAGAATGGACAACAGATCCGTAGGCCTACTTGGTACTGCATATTCCAGAAAACCACCGTTCCCTCTGAGGTGGTATACATGTACATGTACGTGTTGTTGTAGGCTACAGTGTAAGTTGTGAGATTCATGCAAACAGCAGGCATATAAAGCGTGGGAATGTGTGGGGTGGGGGTGTGGGTGGGGGTGTGGGTGGGGGGGGGGGAGCTTGTTTCCGACGACACTGGACATTCGTGCTGGTCCCAGAGGGGCCCACCGCTTTGTACCTGACTTATTGACTGACTGACTCCCCGACTCAACTTGTGAATTACAGGGGCCTAGCAATCGCTGGGGGTGTTAAAGTAAACATTTCTTGAAAAGGGTACTCGCACATCCGTGCTGACATGTAGACACTTTAATTTGTTCTCCGGACACTTGGCCTTTCGTAAAATCAAATGGGGAGGGGGGGGGGCTAATTACATCATCAGATTCTGTTAAAAAAGGCAAATATATATATATATATATTTTTTTTGGGGGGGCTTAACGCTGGTGAAAAAAGGGCACTTGAGAATGGGAAAGGGCAGTCTTTACAAAGTAATTGGAAGGGGGGGGGGGTAAAATACCCCCTTGGCGGCCTACGCCACAAGCTGAATTTGACTGGTTACCTACCTCACTGATCGACAATCGATTGCGAATCAAACTGGTTGTAAATTGTGAATTAGACTGGTTATCATATATCGCAGTGATGTAACTTGTGAACTTGACTGATTACTAATCACTGACTGTCAATTAGAGCATCTTAATTATCACTGATGTGCAGTAATGACAATCAGTCAAAATCTCCACGCTTAGGGCCTACGGCAGAAAGAGATTGTTCATTTCCATTATATTACCACTATACAGCTCTTTCTACGAACTTTAGCATTCCGAATCAAAAGTTGAATAGAGTTTGATGCCCTCTTGGACCAACATTACTGAGGTTGCCTGGTCATGTTTAAGGAAATGATAGGCCCAGCCATACTAGGAGTAATACCACAATATCCCGCTTCTTACACTGTAATTGAAGGAAAACAAATTCGAGGCCAGTTTTAGTGTCAAAAAATAGCCAACTTTTTGCCCCTTTCCTCAGACCCAAAATCCGTCTGGATGGGTTTTTGGCATGAATGTCACTGTTACGCCCCAATTAGGGCAATGGTGGCACCTATACTTGGAACTGTCCCAACAATATAGTATGGGAATTCCTAACTATAGTTGGGACGATGTTAGCTGCATTTGCAATGGGACAGGAGACTAACGCAGCAGTATTTCAAACTAATCGCTCCTTCAAAGTGTACATATATTTTTTGCAATTATTTTGAAAATTAGCCTTATTGATATTGACGAGAGAACGAAAGTGGTCAAGTTGATGCCGTAATGTAAAGAAGATGACCTTTGTTTATTTAGTCGACGATCTTTAACAGATTTATTTCAAATATTCTTGCTGTTGTTTTGCCTTGTTTTATGTTCTTGTTGTTTTATTTTGACTTGGCATACCCTCTTTGCAGAGCTTTGTCTTTTGTTTCTATATTCCAGGTATGATTGGAGGTGTCATCAATATTTCCAGAGACGAGGCATCCCTGTAGCTGACTATGTTCCCATCTTCGGCAATAATTTGCAATTGCGTCATGTAAGATGAAAATTAGTCTTTTAAAATTTATTAGCTAAATTATTGTGAAGCTCCGTAAAGCCGGGGTAAATTTTTCTTCGATCATTCGTACCTAATGAGGGACACTTTTTTGTCGTTAAAATGTTGCAGGGTTTTGTTTATCGAAAGCTTTCACACCTTATTGTGCCGACTTAGATTTAATTCTTTAAATGAACCATATTGAGTAAAATTATGTGCAACAAATTCCGTGCAAATTAAACTTTTACTAAGTTTCACTTAATATCGTACAATGCTTTTCCACAACTCTTTTATACAGGGTATATTGAAGGCGTTTGCTGAATACGAAAGGAAGCATGGCAAGGTGGTTGGGTATGGCACAGACATCATTTAATTAATTTAATTTCATTCATTAAGAACTTAAAATATTTTAAAACAAACAATGTATTCATCGACTGGAATATATCGAGAGGAATGATGATGTTTGTGCTTTCGTGGAAATTCCTTTTTTAAAAACCCTCAGATGTAGCCTAAATCGTTGAGGGAGTATCCATCAACTCACTTTTTATTTGCCTAGTTGTCCCATAGCGCAGCGTTTGTTATGGTGTAAAATCGAGGACACCCACGTGCAACATCATCGATGAATTGAGGACAGGAACCACAATCGAGGACGACCTCGATTAGAAAACGTGCACAAAACCAATGAGAGCTGTTGCAAAAAAGTGAGACTATAAACAAAGGAAAAGGGAAGAGCAACAATGTACACCATAAACAAACGTGTGTGTACATGTTTGCGGACAGCAACATAACTTTTGACTTGTCAATATTATCACTGCGTACTGAAACGTCGAAGTTGTTACTTCCTCCAGGACGTACGATTTTCGGCGCCCCATTCTGATCATCAATGAACCTGAAATTCTCCAGCATATCCTGGTCAAGAATTTCTCCAACTTTTACAACCGCCGGGTAAGGCTTTTAAATTTGTCGGTTCTTGAAAGTTTATACTTATTTCTTTTAGTTCGTTGCGTTGTAAGAAGACATTGCGACCTTGGTTAATATCCGATTGAAACATGATAACATTAATTGGTATGCAAATAATGAATGGTTATGAGTTCAACGATCAGAATAATTTCATGAGGTGACAGATGGAATGTTTTATTCCACGAGGCGAAGCCGGGCTTTTTTAATGGAACATTCCATCTGTCACCGAATAAAATCATTCTTTTCATTGCTCGGATGTGAAATATTCATTATTTGTTTTATTCAACGCCAGAATAAATCCTCGTCATCTGATTGGTCAGAGCCACCAATAGTGTGACCGCGCAATTGAACTTCCCTTTACCGTGGAATGGATCTTCCCTTTTTTGCCGTGCGACCTGGCCGTGCGTTGGGACGAATAATTCAATGACACGTGCTCAGCGATACACCAATCAGATGATGAGGACTTATTCAGGCGTTGTATAATATGAATACAAGTTATAAGATGGAATTTTGCGTCGGGGTGATATAAATCAAATTAGGTTTTGCCCTTCATCGACGTTTTTTAAGCACTGTATACTCAGTGTGTTACCTTCCGAGTGAAAGTTGGAAAAAATCACTCGGGTGGGACTCGAACCCACGACCTCCTGCTTTGTAGTGCAGATGTCTTGCCACTCGACCACCGAGCTAACGGGATCGGTTGGCCGGTTCGAATCTGATGTACTGATGAATACAAGTTATAAAACTTTGTTATTGAGATAAGGAGATACGTTCTTAATTATGGACAGAATGAGTTGGAGCGTGGTTGATATTTCTGTGAAGTATTTTCAAAGAAATCAATAGTAACCTAAAATGGTCAGGCTCTGTGTTAACACCATCTTCTTCTGTCTAGAAACATGTGGTAATTCAATCTGATCGCACACAAGCCAGTCGGGGCATGTTCTTCCTTGAAGATGAAGAGTGGAAGACGGTCCGCAACACCCTGACGCCGTCATTCACTGCAGCTAAGATGAAAAACGTAAGGTGAACATTTTCCTGTCAAATTGTACAAATAACTTTAAGATTTAAGAAGTTTAAGACTTTGTTGCGACCCTAATAACAATAGGATATGATTGAGGTCGCTCTATAAAAACGTCATTTTCTTGGAACAGGAAAAAAACATCGCGTTTATTTCAACAAGTATTATAATTATATTCATCATTCTTAAAAACAAACATGAATAAATTGTTATTTTTGAAATATGGCAGCATTTGAACAATCTTCAAAAACATATGAATCCCGTCTGTTTGCGCCCCCATATGCCCTGTGACGTCATACCAACAAGCAACTGACGGGCCAACCAAATTGTCAGCATCTTTTGCATGTTATAAGACCCACATTAAACAGTATAAGTCAGTACTTTTTATAGCATTCGTATTTCCACAAGATATACATGCAGTGCAGAAGAGAACAAGTTCCTGAAAGAAGACATATCACGTGACTACAACGTTATATTTTGTAAATAAAATTTCAAATTTCACACGGTCATAGTGTATCCGCTCCGTTCACAAGTACCCCCTCACCGGCAAAGAAAGTACAGTTGGGGGTGACCGACCGACGCCATTTTGCCAGACTGCAATTTTGCCAAGAAGAAGCGCGGCCACTGCATGTGCATAGTACAAATCCCCTGGTGTACGTGCGTCACACACAAGGAACGGTGCGCGTCAACCAGCGAAATATCCCGCCCATGGGACGTCGTTTGTAGTTAAAAGGGCGCCCTCTTCTTTTGCGCACGGAGCCTATAGCCTATATGTTGTTTTCTGTTGTCTTTGACAATATTATGCAATCTTTTACAGATGTTTCCACTGATTAACGAGTGTTGCGATACTCTACTGACAAGTATAAGCGAGGCACGAGAGGGAGGCAAAGCTGTCGACTGCAAGATGTAAGAAAATGATATCACCACCCTCTTTATGGGCGTGTCATTTATAGGGTATCCACAGAGAAGCAGGGGAGGAGATTTTTAACCTCAACCCCAGAAATAATTCTCCCTCTATAGGTGTTTTGGTGGACTGGAATGACCAGCTTACTGTACTCTGAGTTAGTCGCTCAGTTTAATCATCGTAAAGTTTTGAGTCAAGCTGGACTGGACAAGTCTAGTTCAACACCCCAATTTTGGAAATAGCAATCATGTCAGTTTTGTGCTCTCGTTCTTTAAGATATGGTAAAAAAACAGGAGCACTTCCGTTATACCTACCGTCGCTCACCAACCACGGGGCCAAGGTGGGACCCTCGGTAAACAAAAACAAACAAATAAAGATAGAGTAATATAAGAAAGATCTGTCCTACCTGGGCCCAATTTCATAGCGCTGCTTAACAGCCGACTTTGTGCTTACCGAGCCTCCATCTATTTCATAGGGACTGTTAAGCAGTAAGCACAGCAAAAGCACGCTTAACCCCAGAAGAAAACTTTGCTTAAATCAGTGACGTAACAATAGAAATCTCCATGCGCGCGCAACTGTAAGCACATTCACGGCATGAAGTAGTGCTTAAGCAGCAGCATGATTTTCTGCTATAGTAAGCACAACTTTTCTGCTTACTGTTAAGCAGTGCTATGAAATTGGGCCCTGGTCGTTAAACCTGAATGTTTTGCATCATTCAAGGTTGTTTGGTGGCTTCACCATGGACGTGATTGCGTGCTGTGCCTTCGGTCTGAGTGTGAACTCCCAACAGGACAAGGACAATCCGTTCGTCAAGAATGCAAAGGTTCTACTTGACCCCAGCCGCTTCAGAGGAGCTTCAATCATCCTTATGTGTGAGTATGATAGTCTGGTCACCAGGTCGTGGTCCGGCAACTTAACTCTGCACCGTACCAACTGGTCTGGCTGACGATGCCCACGCCGTTTGAAGCCACCATCCGCCATCTTGGGTCGACCATGACGCACGCGCAGTAAAAGCTTCAAGTGTTGAGGAACCATGATAGGCGTATTGTCGCAAAGAAGAAGAAGAGAGAATAGGATGGGTAATCAAAGAGCTCGCGTCGATCCGCTTAATATATAACCAACAAATTAATTAAACAAATGTCTAACTCTAGAATTATCTTCGAATACAGATTGAGTTTGATCACCATGAAAATAAATTGTGGTAATGTGGTTAAATCATAATAACATCAGATTTTTCATAGCGTACATTTAATAATGGGGAAACATCTCTCTCTCTCTCTTTCTTGGTAGCTATGCTCCCAATCTTAGCACCGGTGTTTACTTACTTTGGATACGGCTTAGCTTTTGAGCCGGAGGCTGTCCAGTTTTTCCAGGGCGTAACGGAGGCTGCGTGCAAGCTGCGCTTAGAGGAGGGTGCCAAGGCTTCTAAAGTAAGTCACAAACGAGTCGCTCTTGAGTCGATCATTACTTTGCTGACAGCTGATAAAATAAAACAAAAACCATTTCATTACATAAATCTGCCATTAGTTGACAATCCATGCTATCCTTAAAGGTCATGATTTTGTTGCAATTTTCCGTGCTTGTGGTACAAAGAGTCTAAGATTTATCATAACCACGTAAAGGATCATTTGAAGTTATGCCTGGGAAAAAAAGTACACTCTAAACACATCTGGGTCAGATTGACGTGGAATGTTGTAACCCTTTTTCCGGGTCGAAAATGACACTTATTCTGGGTCATTTTCCGGGTAAAAAACGACACTTTTCCGTGTCATTTTGCGGGTCAAAATTACACTTGCATTTTTCGGGTCAAAATGACGCTTTTCCGGGTTATTTTTTCCGGATAAGGGTCATTACCCGGTAAAGTGTCATTTGTGACCCGGAAAAAGCTTGAGCTAAATAGAACCCGTATTACCAGGATGGTTTGATTTTTTTTTTTAGAGTGCACCAACCAAGTATATATTGACAGTAACGTTGCTCAAGGGAAGATAGGACTGGTATTAAATACCTTGTAAAATTATTCATCCTTAAATGGAATCGATTGGAAGAAACCTAATATTAAAGTTTAGGGTGTCTGCGGGCAAAATAATTTTTAACGTGCGTCAGCAACAGAATCTACTTGACCGTAACAATTGTGCATACGTTTTATCTGCTTTTTCTCAAACTGTATACTATCCACAAATTGAGCTTATATCCACAAGTTAGTTGTTAGTTGCATCCTCCTTAAGATTTGGGAAAAATATGCACAAAAAGAGACTGATCCTACGTGTGAATGTTAAGTTTAGCCCCAATTTTGTCAAAGGCCTGCAGGATTACCAGTTACTATTAATATTCATCTTCAAACGATTGACACCGGAGTATCAACTTCCTACTTTGTTGATTGGTTCCCATACACAGCATGCCGATCTACTTCAGCTGATGCTGAATGCTCACCATGACACTGATGTGGATCAGGAAGACACGCCCACCATAGGGGACGGCCCAAAGAGGGGCGTGGTCCAACGCAGGCCCCTGTCAACGGAAAATATTATGGCTCAGGTGATTACAATTTTGTCATAGTACCAGAAGAACTTCTATTGGAATTGTTGATTGATATCAAACATCCCTGATGAATACAGGTTACCAAACACAGTGTCATGTGACACGAGTCACATGACATAGCTTGTGACTGGTTCGTGGCCGACTACAGTTGAGCAGTGTTGAAAACACTGGCAGTATCAATGATATTTGGGCCCAGTAGATCGTAGCAGTGTTGCACTGTCCAAGAATGACGTCACTGTTTATGGTTTATTACCCTCATTAGTCGCTCACTTTTTTCCTGGCTGGGTACGAGACCACCAACACGCTGCTGAGCTTCACTGCATTCCTGCTGGCTACCAACCAAGACGCGCAAGAGAGACTGAACGCTGAGATTGACAACCTCGATCCCACGAGTGGCAACATTGGCTATGACGTCATTGGCAAGATGGAGTACCTGGACATGGTGATCAATGAATCACTGCGCATGTATCCTCCTGTTATCTTGTAAGAATACACAATTTGAAATCTGCGTTAACTTACCATTTGGAGATTGTACAAGCCACTTTTAATTTTGCTTGTATTTTTTTTATTCATAAATACCTAAGACAGTTTACCCACTCCTATTGGTCGAGAGCCCGTCACGTGGCCGGTTTTAAACGGTTGATAAAGACCGGCTGCCTGGTCTTGAACACTTGACCAGTGTCACATGAAATCTGGACTCCTATGAAATCCGGTGCCAGTACCGTGTTATTGGTTGAATGTTCACAATCCTCACGTGGTCATGCGCGACATATTACATTGATTCAGTATTTCATAGTCCCAAATTCGCACTACACCCGACAGCTGCGTTCTGCGTCACATCACACAGTACGTGCGACGCGCGCTAATCTCTGTATAAGGAGAGGACCATACCATAGCATAGCTAGAGGGGTGTTTCAAAAACATGAAGTAAGCTCGTTGGACGAAATCGTTGGAAATGTATAATTTTTTTTTTACATGTATTAACTTTTATATAGTTGATTTTTTGACCGAAAAGGTATTTATGAATGGGAATAAATATGTGCTTGGCTCATATTAAACACTATGTTAAGAGCGGTTGGAGTGATCTGGATGCTGATAATTACCTGAGCCAAAGGCGAGGGCAATTATCAGCATCCAAACTCCAATCGGTCTAAAACAGAGTGATTAAAACCGGCAAAGAGCACATTTATTCCCTTAGTACTGCTGCTGCTGCTGATAACACTTTTACAAGGTCAAAACTTCATTATTAAGAAAAATGGTCTAGCACAACAGAAGTTAGAACTGTGAAGGTCATGTCGGTTAATTTTGTGAATTAATTTCCTTTTTGTCAAGTATTGATCGGCAGTGTAACCAGAAATCAACGTTTGATGGCCTAGTCATCGAAAACGGCATGCACGTGTTTGCGAGTGTCTGGAACATTCATCGCAACGAGGAATACTGGACGGACCCCGAAAAATTTGATCCTGAAAGGTAAAAGAAATGTCTCCAGATTCTTTTTCAAATTCCAGAAACTGCAGCCAAGATATGGTTACTTAGAACATTTTTGAACGTCCCGCAATTATTCGCATATAGGGGATGAGCTAAAATTTAGTTAAGGTTGGTGGATCACAGATTAATGTTAATTGTTGTAAGCAGTTTCGTGATCTCTACAAAATTTACCAAACAAAATCCTTCAATTTAAATCAAACGAAACACATCTTTTCTCTAATAATATACATGTTTGAGATCACGCAAAAATATATTGTATGTGTTCTACCATAGAAGAAATCGCCTACCCTGTGTTGCTCTGTATAGTTATTATTGCAATTTTGTAGCATTTACTTTTTTATTTTTCAGGTTCAGCCCTGAGAACAAGGCCTCCATCAAACCTTGCACCTACATGCCGTTTGGCTTCGGTCCAAGAATCTGCTTCGGCATGCGCTTTGCCTTGCTGGAAGCCAAGATGGCGCTGGTCCGTGTACTGCAGCAGTATCGCTTCGATGTCTGCTCGGAAACCGAGGTAAGACAAGAGGGAACACTACGGCCGTTTCTCAAACCCGGCTTTGTCTTTAGTGTCCGGCTCCAACTCCGTTGGCAAACTGCATACAGGTAGCTGGACACTGGGGACGAAGCCGGGGTTTGATAAACGGCAAATGTGCAATGAAGTAGCTTGTCTGCGCATGCGCGTTGAGGTCCGTGACTATACTTGGTTACAGAAAAACAAGGTCATGAGCTATCTTGATGCTCAACTTAGACGCACGAAATGATAAGCATTAGGGTCGACAACTTCTATTTTGAACGTTGTGTACCGAAACGTTGGGAGTGATCTGGTACACGGTACCCTGTGGAGACATGTGCACAATTGAGAACAAAAGATTGTATACGTCTCCACAGGGCAATGTCTATAGTTGAATACGTCTCAGCAAGGTTATCACAAATAGATATTATGGATTTACTCAAAATCTAGATTTTCCAAGGTGTGTCGCCAGAATCGTCGCAAATTGAAGTATTTCATCAACTTGGATATTAAGTCGGAATTTCAGCCCAGGAAAAAAAATCCTGGTTAAAAATAGGAGCATTTTGAAAGTACACTTTCAAACTTGAAAACTTTAGTACACGAGAACAAAAAAATGACTCCACAAGGATGCCAATTCCAGTACCTGTGTAGTGGAGTGTGAAAATTCAAAATGTGCCTTGTTTGTTGAATTCAGTTTTTCTCTGTTTCTCTGCGTTGTTACCTTTCAGATCCCACCTGCCCTGGGCACGGGACTGCTCCTCACCCCTAAGGAGATGGTGTTGAACATCATTCCCAGGAACTAGGTGACTGGATACCCCACCCAATGAGAACTCTTGTCTTGATGATGCAAGACGTTGTTACGTCCGCCAAGGAGGTTACGTTTCCACCGGCGAAGGTTTGCCTGTGAACATGATAACTCAAAAATTTATGGACGGATTGTCATGAAACTTTCTTTAGGGTGGTCCTTGGTACAAGTACAAATCGTCATTAGATCCGGATCTGCGTCTGGATGCAGGATGTTTTTAAAGACCATTTTATACAATGGAGCGAGTGGAAAGTAAACCAACACAGGCATAACTCTGTTTAACTACAAACTATTTGAGTTTTAGGATTTGTTTTCGCAATCACATTGTGCATTGGTGCTGTGTGTAATGGTGGGGAATTGTTTAGCCTTGGTGGAGGTGTGCGCTTTCTGAGTGCTTTCTAGTTTTAAATAGATTTACTTGCGACTGCTGAATGTTCAATCATCTCGAATAATAAATCGAAATGGTGTAAACTATTTTGCGAGGTGAGAAAGTACGTATGTTTTGGCGATTGTTGAAGGTGAAGACATGTTGATGTTAATCTGTAAAACTTCGCTTGAATTGTAACTGACACCTTTTTAAAACAATATTTTATTTTTTTATTTTATTTTTGGTATAATCATAGAGAAAGGATAAAATCTAACATGACATGCTGACAAGATACTATTGAAGAGAGTGTTGTAGTATATTGCAATTTTGATACTGTTGAAATCGAAATTTTAGCTTTCAATTTTGCAATATTTTGCTTTTAGCGTGATATAATAATTGGCTTAGCCTATAGACTTTTAAATGTTTCTATACATTTTTAGTTTTCGTTTGTGTATTTGTTTTACTTAAGCAAAATATGGTGTAATTTCATTGTATTAGCTGTAACAACACTGCAAACGTATGCAATTAAAATGACCGATGATTTGCAGAGCATTGTCACCCATTGACTGCAAAACGAAGCTTAGAATTAAAATGATCATTAAACGGATAATTCTGACTAAAGCAGACATATTACAATATTGAGTACTTTATTTTGTTTTCCAAGCACTTTATCGGAGTCAACCCTTGTCACACATTGAAACGTTTATCTGTAGATAAACCCAGCTAAAAATGGGTCAAAACATGCATAATTCTTTTTATGGGCTTCATGACCTTTATGATTATCATCAACTTCTTCAAAAAGTTTTCAACCCAGACGACCTGCGAGTGAGCCGACGTTATCAACAACGATTTGTTTGGATAAAAGTAGGGACTTTGGTTCCCGCGCCCACCTTTTGTTGTTTAAGTTCATGTACTTTGCCAAAGAGATTTCAATAATAGTAGTCACCAAAGGTTGTCCACCCTGAACATTTGCTTAGATAGTGCGAACCAGTGGCGTAGCCAGGAATTTTTCAGTGGGGGGCGCTGGGGGGGGGGGGGGGGGGGGCTGGAACATTTCATGGGGATCATGTAGATCAATGATAATTTTTTTTTAGAAACTCAAAATCTCAGTGGGGGGGGGGGGCGACTGGGGGGGGGGGGCGACAAGGTTTCATGGGGGGCTATCGCCCCCCCACGCAACCCCCCCCCCTGGCTACGCCACTGGTGCGAACTGTTATACAAACAACCACGCTTATTGGCAGGATTCGTGCGCTTATTTGGGGTCCTAGAAAGGTGGTTTTCATGCCAATTGTCGTGCTCCTCTGAGCCTGTGGTCTTTTTGGTAAACGAAATATACTGAAAAAAAATTTGAGGAAACATTGCAGGCTTGCAAGACTTAATGGCATTGAAATGGTATTCACTCAGCTAATTTGCGTTGACGACTTAGTCGACAAGACCCAAATTCGCTCCCAGCTTACCATAGCCGACTTTAGAGCACCTGCACCACAACCATTCATTCAGTGCTTTTCGACAAGCAAGTATTTAAGTATGATTTGCCGTCTATACTGGCGGTTTTTTTTTTACTGGTACCATTTATCACAAATTTGAGTAAACTGCTTCAAACCATCCAATCATGCACAATATGTGGTGCAATGGCCTACAGTTTGATAAATGGGACCAGATCAAAAAACAGGCATAACTTTCTTATTCGTGAACATTATGACCTTGATTGTCACATCTCATGAATGCTTAAAAGTTCAATGAGCGAACTTTGCAAAGGGTTATAGAAGTATCAGAAGATATCCAAAATGTAATCATGTCCAAATAATTTGGGGCCATGTGCTATTCCGTGCTTACGGAAAAACCCACAGAGATTGGCTTGGGTGGTAGATAGAGGAACATTATTTTTATTAGAGCTGCCGGTTAATATGAGCTTGAACTGTCAAATCTCTTAAGTTTTGAAGTTCGAGTCGAATGTAAAAGGTTGTTTGCCCCAAAGTGCATTATTTGAGCACTGCAGTATAGTATATGTGTGTGTGTGTGTGTGGTTTTTGTTTTTCAATAACTCACCCCTTTCAAGTGTATTTCAGTCTAAAGGTAACTCGGTCATAGTTCTTTTTCCGAGATAACATTGACCAAAGTATATAATTGACAGTGTTGAATCCGTCTGGCACATACATTTGTTCAAGCACTTGACTTCTACCAATGTGTATTTAAAAAACTGAACATGACATTATGAGTTGAAAACCGCTGCGTAACCACTCCTTTTTGAGGGATCTGCATATAAACGACTGCGAGTTTATTTTTTCGATGACCAGTTGCCGACTTGATCGCACGCCTGTCTTGAACTTAACATCATGGAGCTGTTGGGGTATGATTTGTCCATGACTTGGATTCTGGCGATTGGTGCTGTGTTTGTGTATCTATGGTGGGTATGGAACTGTTATTTTTCCACTGGTGAAAACAAAACAAGATAGGAATGGCTTTTTCTTTGAGGTCTAAATGAATCTACTCATCAATACTTATGGGTAGATATTCATAACACATCGCATCTTTTATTGTTTCTTTTTGTAATTTGCCTCTAAAAAAGGTCTTGCTGAGGCTATAATATAAGGCCATTTTAATATGTTTTGTTTAATTCGCTTAGCTTTACAAACTTTGCTATGCTAATACCAGGTTATTCCATTGTTATTTGCTAGCAAAAACTTGCAAACTCATTATTTTCTTAAGAAGCTGCTATGCAGGAAGCCAGCACTGTAACTTTTCTTTTTCATTGCTGCAAGCGCCCTCCGTAGCTTTTCAACTTCATTTTTGTATTTGTATTTTACTGATCTCTTTCTTCTATTGCAGGTATGATTGGTGGTGTCATCATTATTTCCAGAGACGAGGCATCCCTGTAGCTGACTATATTCCTATCTTTGGGAACAGGCTGCAATGGCGTGAGGTGAAATGACAATCTTTCGGTTAATTAAAATCTTCAATTGGCAAACATTGCACTCAGAAGATCCATGCAACACTCACAAAACCTGTTTTGGCATGAAATAAAGGTTGTTGTGCTGACATAATCGTAAAGCGGAGGTACCAACGAAATTGAAAGATGTAAACAAAATTTGATTTTGGTTTTATGTTTTTGTTTTACTAAAGTTGGTTTTGCACCATGATATATGTTTGTTTCTTGTACATCTAATCTACTCTGACAAACCGTCCGATCTTGATAATGATGTGCACACGCAGTTGGAGGATCGGCCGAGTTCATTTGTGATAATCTGGGAGTACAGAGAAGCACGGGACACCTCAATACCGCTGCAAAATTATGGCGCATGTCTTTAATCAAAAGCACATTCTCGTTTGTGATAGCCTGCCCTGATACAAATCCAATTACATAACAGCTTGTAGAGTCCATATTCTGGTCAAGGTAATGCGCCTATCAATTGTTTCCCCACCCCTCCCCCGGGCTGCCCCGCCCAAGGCGTGGGGATTGTCACTTTTTATGGTGACAAAATCCCCACTCCTCGGGTAAAATTTAAGTGACAATCCCCGACATACATATGTGGGGCGCACTAGTGATTGCCTTTCCATGTAGTACGCCAATGTTAACAAGGTAATTTGAGTGACCAAAATCCCGACCCTGGGGCATGAAAAACGTGACCAAATCCCGACATCGGACCTGGGGTAGTGAGGGGGGGGGGGGGGGTAGGGGGAAGGGGGGAACATTTGATAGGCGCATAACCATTATATATTTTTTTCTAAAGCAACGGCAAACTCCACCCGCAGAGCCTCTTCCATTGACCGTTATAATGATTTGACATTTTCCTGCTTATTTCTGATTTTGTCGGATGCAGGGAATTTGGAAGGCTATGGACGACTATCACAAGAAGCATGGAAAGGTGGTCGGGTGAGAAATTAAGATGAAATACAGAGAAGACCGAACACATTTCATAGAACATAGCAGAGACAACAAGTAATCCAGACAGATGTCTGACTGAACATCTGAGCTTGCAAAAGTTACAGATGTCTGACTGAACATCTGAGCTTGCAAAAGTTACCATGCAGGGTAGATGTATAAAGCCCTAAAAGCAATGAAATGATTGCATATAAGAACACAAGATCAGTTTAATTTTGGGCAAGTGAAAGAAATCAATAGGATACACGCACTAGTCGGCATAAGTAAGTCGGCAAAGGGCAAACCCTTCCAGTTACTTACAGACAACATCAGTAAATGTTGTCTTCTATTGTGACATTTAATTACGACGACGAATACTGCGCAATTTTTGTTTCTCATGTCATCGCTGACATTGTTGATGTTTCAAAATTGTTTTAATTTTCGTTCAGGATGTACGATTTTCAACGCCCAATTCTGATTGTCAGTGAACCCGAATTCCTGAAGAGTATCCTGGTCAAGAATTTCTCAAATTTTCCCAACCATCGGGTAATGTTTATCATATTTATAAGATACCTATTAGCACTGTTTTCTCGTAAACCTGCAGAGGAAACCTGTCATGAATATATATAGAAAGCGAAGAATATCACTTTAGAAATCAGGATGATATTAGGACTGATAAAAAACAACAAGGACCTCTCAATTTGGACAGGAAACCAAATTCACTGTAAATTTATAGGGAACACTAAAAAAAACCCAACAAAACATCAGTACATTTCCCGATAGTTAAGGAATATTCTGATAAGACCGTTACAGAGTATTAGCATTTGTTAATCGTTTTATTTGTCCCTGAGAATTTCCTCGGAAAATTTGCAAATAAATTTCCACTTGGTACACTCCGTAAGCCTATAAATATAAGGATGCGAAGGCTGGGGTTCGAAATTTGATGAAGTTTGATCCAAAACATCCTCCAATTTTCTCTTCCACTTGACAAAAAGCCTTTACAATACGAGACCGGTGCTCACCCCACATGTAGAGGTTCACGCAGTCTCTTTGAGAGGAAGTGTGAAGAATACGATAACGGATCGGCGGTGATTACAATCAGTCTATCATCTTTCTTTCCAATACAGAATCCGCCTATGGTTATCTTGGACCCATCCCCAGTCGGCAGAGGCATGTTCTTCTTGGTTGATAACGACTGGAGAAACATCCGCAACACGCTGACACCGTCATTCACCGCAGCTAAAATGAAATATGTAAAGTATTATTATATTCCCTCCAGCACTCAACAATATTTCAAATCATGACAAAATTAAACAGATTTCTTTTTTTGTTTCTTAAATTAAAACTATTAACTCCTCGAAGGGGTAGTTCGCACTCAATCCCTAAAAAAAAATGTGCAGATAGAAAACGACGAACAGCGGTTGAGTTTTATTGTAGGAGTGAAATATTCTAGACGATGATATTGAACTGAATTGAATTGAATGAGCTTTGTTTACGGAGCACAATGCTCAGCCGTGACAAACCATTTGTGGAGCGAATGAGTATTACCTGTCACGACGCCATTTTGGCGGTTCAAACATAATACAGACGGAACTTCATAGGTAATTGACGTCAGTTTACCCGTTGATATACCTCCGAAATTATAGGCCTACCATTTTTTCCTCAATCTTTTTGATTGGGAGAGAGAAAAATAGTACTCCGTAGTACGTCGTTCCCCTGAACTTGATATTTTCATTTATGTCTTGTCATCACAGATGTCTCCACTGATCAACGAGTG